AGCTTTCCGGGGCTCCCGGGCCGTCACTCCGCCCCGAGGCGCAGCCCCCGCCGCCGCAGGTCGGCCCTCGCCGCCCTGATGTGCTCCTGCAGCTCGGCCGCCGCCTCCTCGCAGTCGTTGAAGGTGGCCAGGCGGTAGCCCACGGTGGCCAGCGAGTAGCAGCCGAAGGCCACCAGCAGGTAGACGGGCAGCGGCAGCAGCGCCCGGCGCAGCGGGGCCGGCGGCTGCAGCCCCGGCGGCGCCAGAGCCAGCGCGGCCCAGGCCGAGCCCAGCAGGGCGAGCGCGCAGAGCCACTGGGCCAGCTTGGTCATGGCGGCCTGAGGGGAGAGAGGGCGGCAGGCGGACATGGGGGAGCCGTGAGGGGGGAAAAAGGCGGGAAAAGTGGGGCGGGGGGAGGGGAGCGAGACGGAGAGCCCCGCGCCGGGCCCAGTGTCTCAAGGGAGAGCGGCCCCAATTCCCGCTGTGCCTCCACCCGCCGCACCGAGCCCTCCCCAGAGCCCCATCCCCACCCGCACCTGGCTCGGTGCCGCTCCCGGTGCCGGTGCCGCTCCCCGCCCGGTGCCGCGATGGGCGGTAACGGCGGCGGCGCGCGCGGGGGATGCTGGGAGTTGTAGTTCTGAGGAGCGGCGGCAGCAGGCGCCCCCTGCTGGCGGGGAGGGGCGCGGCACCACCGGGACCGCTCCGGGAGCCCCCCGGGACCACTCCGGGAACTCCCCGGGAACCCTCCGGGACCCCCCGGGAGCTCTACGGAAGCCCACCGGGACCCCTCCGGGACCACTCGGGGACCCCTCCGGGAACCCCCGGGAGCCCACCGGGATCACACCGGGACCACTCCGGGACCCCCCCGGGAACTCCCCGGGACCACTCAGGGAGCCGCCCGGGACCACCCCGGGAACCGTCCGGGAGCCCTCCGGGACCACTCCGGGACCTTCCCGGAAGCCCTCCGGGAGCCCACCGGGACCCCTCTGGGAGTCCCCCGCGACCCCTCCGGGATCACTCCGGGACCGCTCCGGGACCCCCCCGAGAGCCCTCCGGGACCGCTCCGGGACTCCTCCGGGAGCCCCCCAGACGCCTCCGGGAGCCCACCGGGACCTCCCCGGGAGCCCTCCGGGAGCCCCCCGGACCCCTCCGGGAGCCCTCCGGGAGCGGGTCCGGCCCCGCTGCCGGTGCCGCAGGAAGCGCCGGGCTTTGTCGGTCGCCGCCGGGGCCGCAGGAAGCATCTGGTTTCCTCCGCGTCCGGCCGGAGGGGTGCCAGGGAGCCGGCGTGGGAGCGAGTCCCGCCCGCCCTCCCACGGCTGCGGGAACCGCACCGTTCCCACCCCCCCGCCACAACCGGGCAGCCCCGGTGGCCCCCCAGCCCGGTGTCCTGCGGAGGGCACACAGGAGTGCGTGATGCCCTGCCAAAGCCGGCAGGCTGAGCTGTGCCAGCGGCCGGGGGCAGATGGAGCTGGAGCCATGAGCCACTGGGACCACCAGAGCCCCCTGCCCACTCCAGTCTGCTCCAATCCTGGCTCCACTGGGATCTTCTTCCCTCGCAGCTCTGGGTGGACAAAATGCCAGCAGCATTTTGGCCACCCCCACCTCACCTGGGCAACCCAGAACCTAGCCTGGGCTCCAGGGCCACTTCCAGCAGGGTCAGGAACCCGGCTGGCAGCTGGCACAGGGGACAAGAAGGTACAAAGAAATGGCTTTATTGGGCAGGGGGGAGTCCCGGATCGGCCACAGGGAGGGGGCTGCCCCAGGAAGGGGCAGCAGGACATCAATTTCTCTTCCTGCCCTTGCCAACAGCCTTGGCAGGAGGAGCGACGGGCGCTGTGGACTGGTAGAGAGTGGAGGAGATCTTGTTGATGTAGTAGAGACCCACCATGGAGAAGATGAGGCTACGAGGGCAGAAGGGAAGAGGCTGCTCAGCTGCTGGGGGCAGGAACACGCCAGGCTCACCCCAGCTTCTGGTGCCTGGGTCCCCCTACCCTTCCCAAACTCTCTCCCTTGGATCCCATTGTGCTGCACTTCCTAAACC